TTTTTTTTTTTTTTTATTAATTCTTGTCTTGACTCGTCGTACGAACGAGTCGCGTGACTCTGGTCGAGTCGTCCGATAGTTAACGTTATCCCGACTGTCTGTCTGTCCACCGCAGAGAGAAACAGACGCAGCGGGCGTCAGTACCCGGCGTCCACGCGGAGGATGATCGCTCTGTACGACTACGACCCCAGGGAGAGTTCGCCTAACGTTGACGTAGAGGTACTGAGCACCCCCTGGTGTTGGTGTGATATAGTGCGTGTTTTTTTTTTTTTTTCTGGGTAGTTCCTTGAGTTTGAAGACGTTTGTCCCTCACATCCTTCTTACGTCTTCGTAATATTTATTTTTGTCGTTTGATTTACTTTTCTTCGGCCATTTTGTTTTTTTTTCTTCTTCTTTGGTTTCACTCACTCTCACCTTTCTATTGGCTCTGCTACCGTCACAGTATGAGGGCGGCAGGTTGAGTAAGGAGGTGAGTCATGGGGGGGGGGGGGTCGGGGGGGTGTGTGTGTGTTTGTTTTTCCTACCTCATCTGTTGGGGAGGGGGTCCCTTCAGGGGTCCACGGTACGACGTCTGCCCTCCGATGTGGTCCTCTGTGTTGACGTACGTCCGGTATGTGTGTGTGTGTGTGTCCTTTAGACTCCTGTAGGACAGACATGTCTGCTGTGTTACAACTCCAACATCAAATGCATTTCAATTTGAATTTTTTTTTTTTTTTCTGCCGTGACTGGATTTTCGCCTGTTTTTACGATGCATTTGGAGAAAAAAAAAAAAAAATTTTTTTTTTTTTTTTTTAAAAAGTGCTGACGCATCTTTGGGGTCTACGAAACTTTTGACATTTGGTGACTTTTGTTAAAAAACGAGACAAAATCCTGTTTTTGTTTTTGTTTTTTTTTTTTTTTTTTAAAAAGTGCTGACGCATCTTTGGGGTCTACGAAACTTTTGACATTTGGTGACTTTTGTTAAAAAACGAGACAAAATCCTGTTTTTGTTTTTTTTTTCCCCAAAGCCATCGAAAAAACGGGCGAAAATCCAGTCACGGCAGGGAAAAAAAAAAAAAAATTTTTTTTTTTTTTTCTCCAAATGCATCGTAAAAACAGGGGAAAATCCAGTCACGGCAGAAAAAAAAAAAAAAATTTTTTTTTTTTTTTTCCCTGCCGTGACTGGATTTTCCCCTGTTTTTACGATGCATTTGGAGAAAAAAAAAAAAAAATTTTTTTTCCTTCCCTTCTTCTTCTTCTTCTTCACAGTCTGAACTGACGTTCTGCGCCGGCGACGTCATCACCGTTGTTGGCGAAATCGACGAAGACGGATTTTACTACGTGAGTACCGGCCGGTCCTCTCGGACGCTTAACGACCGTCGGCGTCACTGAACGCGACGCTCGCGTCGACTGAACGCTCGCCCGTTTTTTTGTTTTTTTTTTTTGTGTCTCCGCAGGGCGAGCTCAACGGACACAAGGGACTGATTCCTTCCAACTTTCTCGAAGAAGTGCCTGATGACGTGGATGTTTTCCTCACCGACTCGCCGTCTCGATATCCCCGGGACAATCCTGGAGCCATGAAGACCAAAAGGGTACACGCGCCTTTGCAGTACTAGCTAGCTAGCTAGCTCTCTCTCTCTCTCTCTCTCGGTCTCTCGGTCTTTGACTGAGGAATGCTGGGATTTCCGACTGTAAATAGTCCAAGATCTGTATGGGGGAGAGGGGGAGGAGGGAAAAAAAAAAAAAAAGTCAAACTTCAGGATCTTTAGAACCGATACTTCAGAGAGGAACGTTTTTTGATTTTTGGGGTTGCTGCTGTGAAGCCTCCCCACAGTACGTTGAATTCTTCAGCCTTTCTTGTTGGGAGGATATATCCTGTGACCTTCAGCCGGGGTCAGGTCGTACAGATACGTCCTGTGACCTTCAGCCGGGGTCAGGTCGTACAGATACGACCTGTGACCTTCAGCCCGGGTCAGGTCGTCGTTGGGGAGTATTTCTGGGGAGAGAGTAAACCAACTTCGTGTACTTCGTAGTCCAGCATGTCCTACGAAGTGAAAACGCACGCGTTTTCGACCAGGATGAAGTCTAGGCTAGTTCACCCTTTTTTTTTCTATGTTTCTGAACGCCTACGTTTTGTACCTTTTTTTTTTTTTTTCTTGTACAGTAACGTTGCCATCGCATACAAAAAAAAAAAAAAAAATTATTGATATAAATGATATTTTGTGTATAAAAAAAAATATTTCTATTTCTTGCCGTTGTTGAACGTGTTTTTTTTTTTTTTTTAATTTTTTTTATATATTGATTTGTTTTTATTTCCTTTTCCTTCACCCACTCGGCGTAACAGAAGAAGAGCGTTCATTTCACACCGTAACGCCTCGGTTTCCGCCACGTAAGTGAGCAACTGAGGATACCAACCTGAAGGGGGCGCTGGTCTGAATGCACACCACCTGGGTATCTTTGGTTTCGGGGGTCACTTTTTTTCTCCACCCCCTCGTCTCCCGTCCTGTCCTGTCCCTTCCGTAGCCTGTAGAGATTCTTCCCCCTCCGGTTTTCCCGCCAAAAACCCCCGCGCCCTGAGTTGCTGAGGAGACAGAAACCCAAGCCAAGGCATTAGACCAGACGTGTGGTATCTTCAGTTGTTTCTCTTGAGTGTTTGTACCTGAACATGTCTGTCCATGCGATGAACCTCCTGCTGTAACTCTGGGTTTAGCTAAAAGGCCCGTGTTGCGCAACCAGGAAGTCCCGCCCTCCTGGCACTGACCTACAGAAATCTATGCAAAAAAAAAAAAAAAAAAAAAAAAAAAAAATTATAAAAATATTTCTGTAGTCTACGCCTCTGACCAAACTATCAAACCAGTTGGCGTTTTTTTTTAATATTTAAAAAAAAAAAAATAAATCACCTGATATCAAGACAAGGAGCTAGGAGCTAATTTTAGAATCCCAAAAAAAAAAAAATATTATAATGAATTCTCCGATTTTCCCAAAGTTCATGTAATTTTTTTTTAACGTTAAAAATTCAAAGAAACCTGGGGGCTAACCGACTTCAACGTATTTTTTTTTCTGAGTCCAACGGAGCCTTTTAGCTAACGATTACAGCTAAGGAACAGTGTAACCCTGTCGTATCAGTGAAGCTCCGGTCGGGAAACAGACAAAAAAACGTTAAAGAAAACCTGCTCCTGAGCTCAGCTGCTGATTGGTTGCCATGTCTACCCCCCCCCCCCCCCCGGACCTGGAGTGGGCGTGTCGTGAGTTGTGTGACCCGAGACTTTTTTCCATACCTTCAACTGTCCCTTACTGGTCTCCCCCATTAGGTCCTACTGGATTAACCAGCTGTGCCCAGAGGAGCGGCCCACACCCCCCCCCGGTTCTGGTTCTGGTCCTGGTTCTGGTTCGGCCAACTGGTCCACGCCCCCCAATGGACTTGTACGCCGCCGCCGCCGACGCCAACGACGACAAAAAAAAAAAAAAGAAGAGAAAAGACACTTAGGACAAAAGACTTGGTGCTGAAAATATATGTCTCCGACAGACGGGACGAACAGAAGGGAATATTCTTGTACATTTCTAACCATATAAAAAGTTCTTATTTTCCCAAATATATATATAAATATATATATATATATATGATTTCATATTTCTCCTGAAAACCTAGAGTCAGGATTGGTAGTGAGGACAGTCATGACGTCACCCTCGTCCAGACTCCGCATGTACGCGAGCGAGCGGCTCAGAGTGGATTCTGGGTAGTTAACGGAAACGCCCGCCCCACCCCGGACAAGAGCAGACAACCCTGTGACGAACCACCACGTGTGAAAACCGCCTTACAATCGCACGGAACGGTTGGAAACGCCGTCCGACAGAGAGCCTTTTTTTTTTTTTTTAACCCTTTCATGCATGACGGTCACTACAGTGGACAGCTGTGAAAATGTCATTTTCTATGATAAGAATAGGTTTTGAAGGCATCATGTTGCATGTAAGCCTCTACAGTGGATTCTCAGGCGTCCACTGTAGTGACCGTCATGCATGAAAGGGTTGAAAGGGTTAAACCGTTCTTCACCTGCATCAGCCATCCATAAGCTAAGTTCGGTGAAGGTCCAGGAGTGTCGTCCATAGCGTACATTTTATAATTCTGTAAAAAAAAAAAAAAAATCTCTCCTACCTGAAGGAAGAGCTGGTTCCTCAGGCTAGCTGCAGATATTCTGTAAAACGTTTCCGTACGGCCTTCCGAACGTCTCCTGTGTCTCAAGATCCCTGAAGAAAACTTCAGAATAGAACCACATCATCATCCAAACGTTGAACCAACCAATAGAATTTCTCCAAAAATTGTGACTAATTAGCCAAGTGACGAAAGGCGTAAAACACGACACCATGTACCATGTGACACCGGCTCCTCCTACAGTAGGCGAGACACAAGGCTACCTCGAACATCTCCGTCCCAGAAACTGTTTAGATCCAACCTGCTGGTGTGGTCCGGCCCAGAAAACCAGTACTGGATAGGAATATATATATATATATTTCCATACATATATATATATATATGGAAAATATATATATATTTTCCATATATAT